CCCCGCAGGGATTAATTCAATGCCCCTGCGAAATCCACACGCCTTGCGCTGGAGAGGAATGTCCGAGTCCCTCAGCACGCGGGAGTTCTGCAAGGAATTTCTCGCCTGGTAACGATTCGCAAACATCGAACCCCTTCTGGGAGCCCTTGCTCCGGATCTTCTATCCCCCCAAGCCCCTTATCCGGACGAAGGATTGAGTAATGGTGAATAATGGATGGCTAACAATCTTCACTAGCTGTTCCTTCAGTGGTAATAATCGATGAGATTGGAACGATTCGAATGCACAGAATGTCCACCTCATTCCCCAGCGCCCCTCGACTGCCACAGTGGCCACTTGACAAAATCAGAAGATTTTCTTCACGAAGGACGCCACCGATTCCATGCGCATCTCGCGAAATGACCATGCGCGTTCAAAGCGGAGCTTGAGCGGGAGAGTTTCGACAGAAGATTGATGGCACTCCCAGCAAAATATTGCCGGGCATAAAATCTGTGACTTGAGCTATACAGAAAATATTTCGGACGAGCGTGAATTCGCAGCACGATTTCCGCCTTGCTCTCCTCCTATTTCGGGAGTTCGAAACATATCGTGGTTTCAAGCCATCTCCCCCGAATTCATACCAATGGTCTCCGAGCGAATGATGCGCAGGTTTTGAAATATATGCGTGGAATTCAAAACTCCGAGTCCCTCTACGAGGATGGAGACGCGGGTACGAACCGGGAAGCACCGCCGCACTGCAGCGTTCAGCGCGTGTCCGAGCTCCGACTCGGTTGATCACAGAAAACCGTTTTTCGACGATATGCGCATCGGAATACGAAAGGACAATCATCACTCGCGCGCCAGCCTGCCCGTCGTGGACGTCTCAGATAGAAAAAAATAGACAGCTCGCGCACTAATCTGAAGAGGTTCGGCCTTGATGTCATTGTCCTTAGCGGCCATTTTCCTCCTTGCCGAGCATTCAGTTTTCAGCTATAAAACTGTGAAGACCGTTGGAGTTGGCACGGTTTCCCCGAGAAACAACTCAAGAACTAATTATGCGTACCTTCGTAAGTTTCCCATTCGGATTTCTTTCTTTTGGGTAAAACCATGGCGGTGAGTCCCGATGATCTCCTGCGCTCTTCGCTCAAGCTTGAACGCCCATTTCAGTTTGCTCTCGCCTGTCTGGCTGTCGCCGCTCAGGCTGGCCATTTCGCGGCCCCTGCCCTCCTTGCGGCTCCGGTCGCGAAATACGCCGCTCCCGTCGTCGCGCACTCGTACGCCACCCACACCGTTCACGCAGCTCCGGTCGCCAAATTCGCCGCCCCGGTCTTAGCCGCTCCCATCGCGAAGATTGCTCACGCGCCCGTCCTGGCTGCTCACGCACCAGTCTTGGCCGCCCCTATCGCGAAGTACGCCGCTCCCGCTCTCACCTACGCTCATCATGCTCCTCTTGCTTACGCTCATCACGCTCCCCTGGCGTATGCCCACCACGCTTACGGTAATGCCTACGCGGCCCCCGCTCTCGCCTACGGTGGATTCCACTACGGTGCCCCCGCCTTCGCTAAGACCTTCCTGTAAACATGAATTCAGACCTCATTTGAATAAAATTACCCTGTGATCTGGAAAATTCTTTTCGTCTCCGAAAGCTTGACTTACGCTCTGTCATCATCCTGGACTTTTTCATCGACAGAGTCAGAGAGGGGGATGCGCATCCAATATAGATTTAGAAAATATAGAAAAAAAAAACGCGAGCGGCCCGGAGATGAGGAAGTCTGACGGAGGCAGCAGCAACCAACCCGACCAATCACGATTGTTGGAGCGACCCGCTTGTCTGTGTATTCTGTGTTCGATTGATAGCTCATAGGGAGAAAGTCTTGATATTCTCGATACACGTCCCTTTCAATCGATTAATCGGGATGAAGCGTACAGCGAATGTGATGACCGCCTCCATTCAGATTGTCCACAGCGAATCGTGGAGTTTGAGATTTGCGATATGATCCGGCGCGCTTCCAGATCCAACGAACTGGATAGCCGGAGTCAGGACAACGTGCGCCTGATGAGGGACATCCAATTAAATGAAAAATTCGGATGCAAAATCGAGACACGTATAGGATAGAATTCAGTGTCCATCCTCCTCTCGCGAGATTTCAATATTTTCCGGGAAAGCCACCGATTCAGTGAGCCAGGCTCAGAACGTCAACGATGCGATCTAGATAGAGTGGCCTGAAGGGAGCGTTCCAATCGGGGAAACGAGAAGCTTTCCCGATACCGAAGAGGGCCGTTCGTGATTCATGATCGACATCTACCCTGACTCGCAGTAGATCGCAAATCGCGGACGGAATATCCCTCGAGCCTCGAGGTATCGATCCTCCCTGCCGGGATAGTCCTGATGGACGGGCGAATAAATTCACTTTTCTGCACTCTTGAAATTGCAGAACTGTGATGGAAAAGTACGCCGACACTGAATTCACACTGTAGCTTTGTACCGTAAGAAAGCGTCTTTCGACGACTTGATGACGTACCAAGGCTAAGACTGACGGACAAGTGTCTTGAGAACACCCTGTCCTGTCTACTTTTGCCATCCAAGGCCACAATTTCGCGGGAATGACCGATGTTCTCACAGAATAATTCTTAGTGAGTGAAATGACTAGCTCTATCGCAGGGAGCGACCGATGCTTAAGAATTCAAGACGGGCACGGAAGTATGGCCAGAAGTCACAAATACATCGGTAATTCTCGCTGATAAAGAGCGAAGACGATTCGGGAAGTTATCAAGCGGAAGAAGGTGCGGACGAAACGTCAAACCGACCCCCTGCCGTTGATTGGGGAGGGGGGGGGTGGAGAGCTTGAGATCTCTGGAATCTTATGACGATCCCCGCCGAATCGTGATATGGAGCTTCGCCGCGAAGGAGTGAGAGATCCTCGAAGCGATTTTGCCGGCTCCAGAGAGAGCCGGCACCCAGTGCGTACTCAAAGACCGGGCCTGACACGTAGATATCGCAAGTGCCTGCCTGCGCTCAGGAGCATTGTCCGGGCTCTGCGGTGATCCCGCTTGAGCGAGCATTATCCGGACTCGCAACAGGTCGCCCTTGTATCGCTAGTCTAGGCCGCCTAGGACTCCGTTGCAAGGAACAGCCGCACGGTGGCGCCGAAGTCTTATGCTATATAAGACCGGCGAATAGAGTTTGACGGCTCACTCGACACCGGTTTGCTGTCAAGAGTGCTTCTCGGACCCTGTGCCTGAATTTCTCATCGAGGATAAATTCGTCGTGAGAAGTTATCCGCGAGTACCATCGGATCGACAACTGGCATTTCACCCTCCTCTGGCATCCCTTGACGTTGCTCCGTCGGCGTCGTTCCATCATCAGTGAGTTCCCTCCGATATTCTGTGACCACGGTAGCAACTATCGCTTGAGGCGAATCTTGTCCCTTCGTTACAAATGCCAATTGAGCTCGGCAATAGACAGTGGTCCGATGATTATGCACGAGAATTCTCGATGGAAGGCAGACGAAAACGCTCTTGGAACCGACTTGTCTGACGGTGTCGAATTGCGCTTCCCGCGGCGAATTCACGAAATATCCGCAAAAAGCCCGGCGATCGCCGCGAGAGCTCCACAAAAAAATTGCAAACTAGATTCCCTATCGGGGGAAGATATAAAATCGGGACAAGGATGAAAGGATGGAATGCGATCTCGTCCCGAGACTCTTCCCTCATTCCACTCGATCGAAGTAAGGTTTCGGAGAGCGAGACTTCAATGCGACTCCAGGAAAGAAACTCTGAAATGCTTCAAAATGCGCGCGGTCGGGCTAACACCTCGAAAAAGCGGAAAGAGGTGATAGCAAACATTCGTGGCGTCCTCCCCTGAGGAGTCGGAGCCATCGGTCAGACTCCGATCATGCAATGGTTTTACCAGTATTTGAGCGATCCGCGATACAGATTGAAAGATTCTCGCCCATCGATTGCGAATCGGGAGAAGAGGGCTCCTAGTCTCACGCCTAACAACGAATCGCTGGCATTCCTCCGAGCGGGAAACGAGGGAGGCCACCGAGAAGATCCGCATAGCTTTCAGGGAAGTCGAATCACAGAGAGCCGCTCTCGGAAGAGCAACACGGGGCGAATTCCAATCGAGGAAGCGGGAAACGCATGGAGAGCCCCGTTTCAAGCTCGAAATCGAGATGCGATTCTACCGATTCTAATCTCTGCGACTAGATATACTGCACGGGAAGCTCTCTACGTATCGGAAGAGTTTCGGCGCACCCTCCGCTCTCGGAAGACTTTGTCTTCTGTTCGGCCTCCTCGGCATCTCTTGGCGGCTCGTGAGGGCGTTTCCTGGGGATATGAGCGTTCATCTCACGATTAGCTGGGACCGTTGGATATTCTTCGAAACTCACGAGAGGCTCAAAATCGAAACCGTGGTGTACGGAACGAGTATGGGCTCGGCCTTACACCGATCATGGAGTCAAAGTTGTAAGAGGCTCCTGTCAAGAGCTGATTCTCCCCACTTCGTCAGAGCTTCAGCGAGCTCCCCTTAAGCTAGACAACTTTCGCCAAAGTTTATCCATTGGAGACTTGCCGGGTACGCAGCGAGGAAGCATCAGAACGATCAGATATGATGGGGCATATGTCTTGGAGCAGTGAGCTTCATCGGGAACCGCACCCCCGAATATTCGAACAGGAAGTCCTCTGCTCTCTGCGGGACGGGAGTCAGAATCCTTGAATTAAACACCCACAAGGTGTGATTAGAAGCTCATCATGACCCCCCATGAGCGATATATTCACTGAGTCTTGAAACCGTGGCTTCCCCAGCCTGCAGTTCAGCTACCCCGTCCAATTCTCTCGATCGCGACCTCGCGACTGGTTCGTGTGCTGCCGCTTGCTTGAAATTTGGTTTTCGAGACTCTTCTTTCCTATTCTGGGAACACAACTCGGAGCCATCAATCGGGACAAGAATGCACGACACTCCCGTGAGATCGAACTCACTTACATACCGACCGAAGGTCTCGCTCATCTTGGCCGAGGGCAAAGAAGCAATAAATAGTCTCTGAGGGTTTATGGGACGGAAATCAAGCGCTCCGGGTGTGGAACTTCCCATGATCGTGTCCAGAGTATTGGACTCCGAAAACGATTCCGTGGTCGGATGTTATCTCTGTTTTCCCAATCTACCATCGGAGGCAATCGATAGTCGGCGAGGAACTTTCCATGGCGGCATCTGCGAAAGTTCCCCTTCCGAGCAGCAGCGGCGCTCCGCATGGGCTGGCACCAGCGGAAAGTTCGCTCGATGAGTAGTATTATATTCCGTCGACCGACGAGCGACATCCATCCTCTCGGATAAACTTGAGGCTGCCTTAGGCCACCAATCGCTCGACCCGTCGAATGATTCACCGTCGAGTCGTTCATTGTTACAAACAGAATTTATCGGAGACAAAATGATAGGAATATACTCCGATTGTTCAATGAGGGAGCGGATATCTGCCGTTCACATCCACGAGTCTTCCTCGGGAGCTCTCGTGCAAGCGCCCCCCGGAGCGATTCTGCAGTCTCTTTTTAATCACATAAATTGGACTCGAAAGAGCGTCGGCTCCCAAAAGTCCTCGTCGTCATGATAGAGTTCGCAAAGTCGGTTTGTCTTGCCGCTCTTCCACTAACGATTTCCGTCTCGGGAAAGAACAACACGAACTAAACCCACGCTCCCGGAAATGTCAGGTCGCTTATTGAGTTCTCAGGCCCGATAGCTCCAAGAATGATTCCGCTGTCCTTCAGCTAGGAATAGGAACCTAGACCTCGTCTGCCCGAATATCTGACATCGATCCGCGGCTGCTTCGCAGAATATTCACGAACCCGACATGTTGACTCGAAGGTTCCATGGCGGGGATTCGATGGGACCGATAAGGAAGTCGAAATTTTGTTCGGACAAGGCTGTTATCTCACTCAGTCAGAGGGGTTATGGCCTAGGACGGCACTGGCCGATGGTAGCTCTGATCGAGAGTTGTCGGGAAACGCGCGCCAATCGAATGGAAATTGAAATTTCCAGGCTAGTTAGTACGAGTAACGCTTCGCTGCTGCGCGCTCAAATCTAAGCTTGCCGCCAGGAAACACCGGCCGAATGTGATCTCCGGACACGTTACCAATAGCAGACTCCAGGTCATCGGTCCGTAGGAAACATTTGGACGGGCCTCCCAATCGGCAGAACGATCAGTTTTCAAGCGCGAGAGGGACCTTCCGGCTCGAGATTTCGTTCCCAGCGAATGATACCGTCTTCCCAGTTCCTCTGACAACCTGGGTAGCGCTCAAAAGAATGCTCGGACTTCTATCAATATGGATGTTCCCCGCGTCCATCGAGAAAGATGGTTTCTCTCATTTACGGTGAAACCGTCTTTCAATTTTGTGCCGAATGACCAATCTACGCCGCGCGGATTTCCGTATCGCCTGCGTAGAAAGCAATCAGGTGACCTAGCTCGCTTTGCATTTCTAATCGCGGGACAGTCAAGCCGCGAATAAGCGGGGCCTCAGTGCTCAATCATGGTGCTACTTGATTTGAGCGCAGATCTGAATTGAGCGCAGCCTGGAATGAGCGCAAATCTGAATTTAGCGCGGATCGGAATTGAGCGCGGATCTGAATTGAGCGCGGATCTGAACTGCGCGCGGATCTGAATTGAGCGCGGATCTGAATTGAGCGTGGATCTGAATCGCGCGCATGGATAGCTCCGGTTGAGAGCGTTCTCGTTTCATTCGGTCGTTCCTTTTTCCCTCTATTGACGGCGAGAAATTTTCAGATAGTACGATCTCTGTCAGTACTCAGCACGCAGAGCTGATTATGAGGCACGGTCCGAAAATTTCTCCGGATAGAATAAGTCAATTTATTCTTAGGTTCATGTTTTCTTGATGCGTAAAGTATGGTCCGGAAAGTCTCGTTCTATCTGAGGGTGATATCTTAGAAGGAAATGTTATGGGCTATACCGCGCAGGAACAGGAGGCTATTGCGTGTGGCATACGTGGAAACCAGTTTGTACAAGCGTTGTTGACGATCTCGGTATTTCTTCTTCGATCGATTACCGATACCTTGGGAGAGAGAGTTTTCGACCACAAATTCGGTTTTTCCCTGCTCTACTTTAATCTGCTCTAACAATTTGAAGACAGTCGGATGTGAGGATCCGATCCTGCCGGCGAAAGCGGAATGCCAACCTTCAACTTCGTTATTTGTGCATCCCATTCCGTCTAACACCAACGAGTGGACGTTCCACCATTCAAGTTTCATTAGCGGCGGATTCCGTTCACGACCCACCCAGGTAGCCTCAAAGTAATTGACGAACCCCGTCAGCAGTCTTTCGTTTCCTCTCACGAACTCCGAATCGACTAACATGTTGAACAAGGTGACTACTTCATCGATCGGAGCGTAAGATAGCGCTGGAAACATGCGCAACTTCAAGGCGAAATCGTGATTCTGCGTGTAGGCTTCTCTTAGATTAGGATCGCCTTGAACGTGTCGCCACACGCTTTGATTGAAATGGAATGAACAGCCAAGGACACCGGCGGCTGGAAAAGCAATTTCGAGTTCTCGGATCATCGCTACTTCGAAATCGATGTGAATGCCTTGAGGGTGGAAGCCGTCGACGGCTTCGAGGATGATTCGGAGCAGTCTCCGATAAGTTTCAGAACTTTTCGCCGGCAAGAAGGCGTAAACAACGGGTACCGTCTTACCATCCGGCAACTTAACGTGGAAGGTGTAGAGTTGATAAAATATCAAAGGGCACACCTTGAAAGTGCCATCGACAAACCACTCCGGGCATTCTTTCAAGAGTTCGATGTTCTTTGCAGTAGCGTAAATGATGATCCTGTTTACGTCGCCGAAACCGGAATCGTGATACAGGAACAATTCATCTTGGGTAGTGTTTTTCAGGATCTCAGGAATTTCTAGATCTACTCGACGAGTCGGATTCAATGGGAACACAGGGCCCAGTGACGCCCGAGCGTAGTCGACCTGTTGTCTCATGAGACGAGCACTCGGCATTTGACCTCTCACAGCAGCGGAATCAATCGTGTTCACGACATGCGCGATTATCGTAGAGTTGGAGGCTGACGCTGTTCGTACCGCTGAGTTACGTAGATCGTTCAATTTTTGCCGAACTTCGATAGCGACCGGGTCGGCTTGGTGCGCGTGCTCTGTCGGACGCTGAACGATTCGCGAAGAACATTCGTTACACAGAATCGTCCGTCTGCCCCAAAATTATTTTTGCACCTCGAGGCAGTCAAATATATCCTACTTCTGGTCCTATCCTATCCTACTTGATCGCATACTCACTCCGTGGTCGCCATCACGAGTCTTCACACGAGACTTGCAGTGTTTCACAATGCAGCGCCAACTAGTGGTACCATCTTTTTCGCGATCCTTCCGGAAAAGATGGCCATCGACTTTCAGCAGCGGTTTACCGCGATTTGAATCCACAAACTGGAGGGACATTGGCACGGGTCGGAGCTGCTCTTGCTTCGATCCACAGCGTCATCTGTGGCGCGTACAACTCTTCTACCAGCACGTTCGACTTCCGCGTGTTTAGTGCACGTCCGGGCCGCGCCAAGAGAAAGCTCGCGAAAGAGCTCGCGCCAATAACTTATCTTGGAAGCCGGACCGACTGATCATTTTTTTCCGAACTTTCTCCGGAGCTCGGGAGTTTCGACAACTCGGCCTAACCTCCCCGGATCAAACTTCGCAAGGCTCCTGTGTGATCACATTATGCTGTAGTACCGATTCTCATACCAGATGCGGAAACACAGTGCGGCTTGAATCTTATAACTGCCTCGCGCTCAATTCAGATCGGCGCTCAATTCAGATCCGCGCTCGATTCAGATCCGCGCGCAAATCAGATCCGCGCGCATTTCAGAACCGCGCGCAATTCAGATCTGCGCTCAATTCAGATCCGCGCTCAATTCAGGCTGCGCTCAATTCAGATCTGCGCTCGAATCAGGCGTCACGCTCAATCATTGCATGGGGACTCAGGTTCACTTCTTTAACTTTCGATTTCAGTCTATGAGTCAACAGGCCGCAGGGAAAAATTGACGGAATGTGTCATTGATGAAGCGGAAATGCCAGGAAAAACAGAAATCCTCCCAACGATTGACGAGTGCTCGGCCAAGGCGAAGGACCATTACAAGCTCGTTGTCCTGGGAGATGCCAAGGTTGGGAAAACCTCAATAATCCATCGATTCCTATACGACAAGATGCCGGCCAAGTACCGCGCAACAGTTGAAGAGTTCCATCAAGGCGAATTCGATATGAATGGTGAGGCTAGAAGGAAATGTGAAGTAGGGTTTCGATGTGTTTCCGCCTTCCGTTTTGATCACCGGGCGACTGAATTGATAATATCCCCGGATGTACGATGCACGACGTCGTCAAGGTCTCGTCTGAAGCTTGAATGATCGTTGCTTAATCTGGAACATAACGGCCCGCGTATCCGTACGGTGCTCGAAAAACCGTGTCGAGAGCCTCATCGAGCGCTCCTTCGTCCCATGAATGACCAACGAGCATCTGCCGCGTCTTGAGCAACAATGCTGGAAGTTTTCCTCATAATGGAGGAGATCTCGATACGGGAGAAAGCCTCGAGTCACTTTCGACCAGAGCTTCTTGACGGTAAACGGAATCCCAGGGGAGACTCCCTTCCGCTCCAGCATTTCGAATCTTGTGAGCCGCCATGCACGAGCGCTGAGGTACAATTATTGCCTGTCGCAGACGCTGCTCATTATACAGATTACGGCGGTTCTCTCCAAGAAGAGCGCAGCGCCTTTTCCCCGCCGTTGTTCCTGTCACTCGATCACTCCGCGGGCGTTTGTCTCGGTAGAATTTTGGTCGATCGGTTTCTCCTTTCGCAGGTACCTCCTTGACTCTAAACATTGTCGACACCTCCGGGACATATCCCTTCCCTGCAATGCGCAGGTTAGCCATCACCACGGGCGATGCCTTCGTCCTCGTGTATGGCATCGACAGTCAGGAATCTTTCGAACAGGTGTGTAGCCCATGATCCCACGGAGTTTCGCTCCTGGGGGAATTCTTTCGACGGGTCCCGCGCCCGGCAAGACGCGGAAAACGGTTCATGAGCTCCACGAGAACACAAGGACGGTGAGACGAATCATTGATATTAGCAACTAATTATCACGAACCCCCGCGTTCAGGTCCGGTTGCTGAGAGACGAGGTCCTACAGTTCTGTAACAAGCGGGCTCATATCATCGTCGTCGGGAACAAATGCGATCTCGAGGAACGTCGTCAAATCAAGCGAGAAATCGCAGAAACGCTGGTGGAAATCGATTGGGAACACGGATTCATCGAAGCATCAGCCGAGAGGGGCGTCAACGTAATTCAGGTGAGCTCCATATTGACTCGTTCGTGATTTGCAAGCCGACGCTCGCGAACGATTCAGACAATTCTCGGTGGGCCCAGATCTCGGGTGACCGGCCTCCATCCCTACGCTTTCTTGCAGACATTCAAAAAACTCATGAACATATCGAAAATTCCGATGGAGCTCACGCCGAAAGCGCTCGAGAAACAGCGACGCAAATCCTTGCCTGTTCACAACACCCAGCCAACGATGAAGGACAAAACGCTCCTGAAACGGAATTCCTGCAACGTCTCGTAGACTTGAAACAGAATCTTGAACGAGAGCAAGACTATATCGCAGTTTCAATAGTACTAGTGTCCAATAAAGATTATATTTCTTTCTACCAGTCCTTGATGCATTCGTTTTTTGCCAAGGGGCATCCCATGGCTCAATTGCTCACAAATGGGGGAGGACTAAATTCTGGTCCACTGGAACTCCTTTAATCTGGCTCCGACTTCGGAGCAGGATTTCTCAGGTCCTTGTCCTCGGACCTCACCAATAACATGATGCTGAATCCCTCGAATTAGCTGCTAATATCGACCCTTCCCTCGAACGAGCCTCGATGAGGTAGACCTTTGCGAGCGAGCAAACTGAAACTGCAAGATGAAATATTCTGTCCACTATTTTTCTTCTGATTGTCGTTTTCTTCCTCGCATGAATCAGATCCCCTCGTCCCGGTTTCGTCTATTTCGCCTGCTCGGTCGCCGCGCCGGTTCTTCGGATAGTACACTCAGACAGCTGCATGCAGAGCGAAAAGAGGTTGCTCCGCCGCGGTGTTCGTCGGAACATATTGCTCGTCAGGACGTCAGAATGTTGGCGGTGAGTGAGCGTAACAGACGTTCGGTTTCTAGAGCAGGAGGGCAACATCGCAGACGGCACGGTAGGGAGCAAGCCGGCGCTGCTCCCCCGGTAGCCTCCCGTGGGACTCCGGAACCCGCAGGGAGAAAATTCGATCTCAAACTTCAGAATGCATGCCGAGAGAGACACCTAGAATGGAATATATAGATAAATAATATAGATATCTAGAAAATGAACTCTTAGAGGCTAGCTCAGTCGCGAGTCGCCGACGGAGCCAAAGTGCCGATGAGAGTCCTGAAGTTTGGAAGTCAACATGCGATCCGGGTTCGAACAGTTCCGATGTTTGATGTTCGATGCCGGGTGACGTCTCCGCATGTTCATATGTAAACGCAGAGAATATCCGACCGGCGCGTGCATAGAGAATCCGAACGTTTCCGCGTTCTTGCCATTAGGGCGGGGTCACGAATTCGCCGATTTCGACTCACAGTCGATCGGGAATCGGCATCCAGGATTGCCCAGGAGGGACTCTCCGAGCTACCAATCAAATGAAATTAAAGTCTCCAAGCTCGGCAGCGATTCCGCATTCGAAAGGTCGCAATACGGGGAAGCAGCGCTGACGGCAAAGGAATGTCATTCGATGTGCACTCCTCTGCCCGCTCGCTTCTCCTTGTAGCGCGAGCAGATGTTTTCTCCGGTCCCAGCGGACTCAACATCAGAATAACAATAAGAGCTTTGAGCTCCGCGGAGTTCGCAGATAGATCGTAACCTAATCAAGTAGGGGACATTCAGGATGGCTCATGGGACGCCATGACGGTCGGAACCGATACCACCTCTGTCCGGCTCTGTCCCGACAATATCCGGTAGCTTCCGATATATGCACGCCCGACTACAGCGTCGCTCATTTCCAGAGTAATAAGAGCGCCTTACTGTGCCGTTCGAGAGAACTGTCTTAAACGTATAGCCAATGTCGCCGAGGGAAGAACGGTCCGAGGACTAAATCGGCAGAGACTGCTCTGGAATCAATCAGCATCATGCGAAAACCATGGAGCAAAGTAATGCCTCTGTTTATATCTCGGAGTAAATCTGGAATGGAGCTCCGGAATCCTGGACTCAAGCGGCGAGGAACGCTCCGACGTCGAAGCATGAGCTCAACCAGAATCTGTGGCAGGATCTATCTTGCAGTTATCGAATCCAAGCTATGATGCCAATCGACATCTACCGGGACTTTCCTCATTATCGTCGGTCCCCCGGTGGAGATTCCGTTCGTGAGGTGATCTGTCCGTAGAGACAGCCCTCTGTTCAACAGGACTGAGAACTATCGCTCACATCATCCCTACGAGAACTTTTCACCGAATTGATATCGGTCAGAATCAACGCCATATCCCGAACTCCAAATCGTCACCGAGCCATACCCGAAGGGAAGCTATCCATCATCACCACGCGTCTGGCAACCACGGGAGAAAAGAAAGCAAGCCGGTACGATCGATCCGAGACCTTAAAATTCCTGAGCAACACAGCAAAGCTGCCAGAATAGTGGTTCCCCAACGTAAACTTATTTTCGACAAACGTAGCAAGCACTCCGCGTATGCGAGTAATTGACAGCCAGTGCGGGCAGACACGTCTCCTATGGGACACCGAGGGATTGGGCAGAACAAGCCGCCCTCGAGGTCAATCTTTCCGCGCCGAGGTCGAGAACTGGGACTTCGCTGCTCCGCGTCCGCATCCCTCCAGCGGCGACCGCAGGCTGGTCGGAAGGGCCACCCGGAAGACGAGAGTTCCATAATTTTTCGACAAGAAGAGACTTACTCCAACAGGATTTTTCCAAATGCTGAGCTATACCCTAAAATATTCTCAGACCTGAGCTCCTTTACGCTCTCACAAGTTCACAAGAGAACTGCGGCTTAAGGGGTCCTTCTGTGGTTCTGACATGAGGGCACATGCGGGTACGCTCATGCTGACCGCCGAGGGGGAGGGGGGAAGGCCAAATGCGGTGGTGCTCTCAATTTCAGCGAGTACGTACATGGACACCAATCGAAGACCTGGTACATAAGGGCCTCGATAATCTCGGAAGCCTTCCGCAAGGGTCGATCCGCAGGCGAGGTCGAAGGCCCTCATGTGGCCGCCGATTCACGACGACGCGGCCACGCAAGAATGGCTTCTTGTACGTCCATCGATCCCAGGGCGAGCCCTCTCATCCGACAAGCGGACTTCCTCGGGCGGGCTCGTAGTCCGTTTGATCCTTGGAGCTTTCCGACTCCTGCGTAGTTTTCCCGAAATAATGCCTAATTACTACTTTGAGAGCACAATCGCAGCTGACATACACATGATGATACTTGGAGGGGAACGAATCGTCTCCTCGAAAGACCCCGCATCGTTCACCTCAAACCCTAGGACGGTGGCTGAACTGTGGGACACAGCAAGAGTTCCCGAATCATTCGTGCACCATGACTGAGGCATTGCTTAAAATTTCACCTCCGCTTATCACTCTCGGGAGCGTACGAGACAATCATCGCCAACCCTTTCAAGCTCCTTGAAGGAATCAAGTCGATGGACCTGGTGGATTCGTAGAAGACCATTCTGACGCCGAATAAATTGAGTTCCGACTGCGCCCTTCGACTCGAGGGAATGGAATCTTCATCCCGGGGACCTCTGTCAGAGCTCAAGCTCTGATATGAATTGCGTGCCACAAAAGCGGCAGAATGGAAATACAGCCCCTGACGCAGCGTTCCTATCTGTTCGGGTCTCTCAAGTGTCGAAGGCCAGGTGCGGTCTCCGGGGAACGATACCCAGAGGAGGGGAGGAGATCAGTCTGATTCGTGAAAACAATTGAGAGCCCGGAATACCCCAAACCAGACGATGGGAACACGTTGAATCCCCAGCGATTTCGGGGAGAACGAGCTGTATGGACAGATCCTTCTGTCCATGGTTCAGACACACGCATTTATTACTGTGAAGCTTTTGGACCGTGAGTCAATGAATGATGATGTTCCTATGAATGGCAAATTCGTGATCAAGGAGACTTTGCGCCGGACGATTTTCCCCTCATTCATCCTGGCAGTTATATGAACCCCAGATCCCTACCTACGGGGGTTCCCGCAGGGATCTGACGGGAACGATTCAATATACCTTCCGTTCCACAGGCTGACATTACCCTCAGCACACCCGGAGCTGACGTGGTCAAAGTTGACTTCTCCGCATCCCATCTGCCTTGCAGCCAATCTCCGCTTCCCACCGCTCGCTCGCCCTCGAGGGCACCGCAGGCTATCTCATTCCTCGCTGCAATACCAACGAATGGGGCTGCTCCTCCTCCGGGTATACTTCAGACATTGAATACTTCACGATCATCGGCGTATGAGAAGAATGCCGGATTCCGAATCAAATGATGAGGAGTCCCGGGGACGCCCGTGTCCGGCGAGCTATTCAATGCACCAGAATGCACCCTCCGTCTTAGGCAGTTTCTCGCCGAGAAATTTTCGTGCCCGAGAGATCCCGACTCGGAGGATCCTTCGCCCCCGCTCTCCTCTCGAGGATGAAGAGGCATCGAGTAGCCTCAGGTTCCAAATCTCGCCAGTGAAGCTTTTACGTGGCATGCGGCAGTGACAACGCTCGGATTGACGATCGCCGAATGGTCCCCACACACATTTCAACAAGCTGCATCCTGCGAGTCCCCCTTACCTGAGTGACTCCGTCTTTCTCAGAGTGAGCCCCAAGTCCCTCCTCAGTTTCCTATGGGAGGAAGCCACGGGGGTCGATGGATGTCATGCGAGAGGCTAATAGGGGGTCCATGGGTTGAAAGAGTTGGGGAACCACTGTGAAGTATCGGTTCAAGGAAACTTGATCGGGTTCGCAAGGACGGGAGAAGCGTCTCGCTTGTCAGTCGTGCTATCACAATATTTGCCTTTGTCCTACAGCGCAGAGTCGGCGGCACTGGAGACGCTCTAACGCGGCGCTGTCAAAACAATCAGTCCTTGTACGTATTACTCAGCGGCCAGCTCTCCTTCTCCCCGAAAAATAATAAGGATTCCCGAGAGACGTGTGCGGGATCCTAATCTCATGCGAGACATGCTGAAGCCTCGCGTGCGACTTCTAGCGATTTGATTGATCAGAGCCAAAGTCGCAGCCTCAACTTTCAGCCTGGCGGCGACATGAGAAACTTGATGGTCATAGCTACCGCGAGTCGCGAATATGCTAGCGACGCTCTGATTGAGTCGGATGGAGCTGCTCGTGTATGCTGGAGCCCTCGGGACAGTCTAGTCCATTTTGCGTCTCGTATCTTTCTTCGGGGGTTCACATGCGGAGCTTTGCAACGGCAGAACGACAGCGGGGAGAGAGAGGAATTGATTTCCCGGAAGCCTTGTGAATTCAATCTCCGAGCATTTCTTCCTCTCCGGCTCTTCTCTCGGAAGAATGTCGGAAACTTACGCTTTAACGGGAGGAGGAAGAAGCTTCAATCAGGTTTTGTCCTCGCCGCTTCTCAGTCGCGTTTCCCGGGGAGCGATTCCGCGGTCTCTGATGAGGCTGCAGAGAAAATCCATCCGAAAGCAG